TTTAGAAAATTCTTTATTATATTAAGTTACATTATTTTTGTATTCCATATTATCATAGATATCATTAACTAAGTGAACTTTAACATTTTTGATATTTCCATATTTAACATATTTTTGAATAGTTGACTTGTATTCATATTATCAAGTATTTCTTAAAAGTTTCAAATAATTCTCGGTTAATAAATAAAAAGCAAATTTTGAAAGTAGTTATTTAATTAAAATAATGATTAACGTAAAATAACAGTTTATAAAATTCATATTTTTACATAAAATAATATTTAAATAAATAATATTAAATTAAAAAAATTATTGGGCATTAACACTAAAAATTGTTGAGAGATCCACAAATAGTTTAATACGATTATTTGAAGTTTTATGTTTTATTTTTTAAGTATGAATAAAATAATATGAAAATAATGTTAAGCCAACTGTACACTTTTTTATTTATCATTCAATTTGTTTACCAATATTTTAGAAATAATTGTTTTAATACAAATTAATTTTAATTTTTATGTATACTTATAGCACAACTTAATTTGCTATTAAATAGTGACAATATTAAAGTACTATGTATTTAGTAGTATCTAATTATATACAATATTACACATAATTAGACATAGGTTTAAACTTAATTATTCTGATAAACTCATTCAACTACATCAATTTTTGTTATAATAAGGTAGTATTATAAAACATTTTACAAAAATAAGGTTATGCCTTGTGATATTCCAAAACTTTAAACATTAAATTCAAACAATTTTTGTTCACAAAATTTATAAACCTGATGTTTAAAAAAAATAATTGCAAACAATTTTACAAACTAAATTAGTTAATTAATCTTGTAAATAAATATATCGAAGTTAAAGAAAAAAGTACAATTTTTGTGTAAAAATTGGAAAATTTAAACATTTTAATAAATTGTTGTACAAACACTTGAATGTGTTTTTTAAGAAATTAGTGTAAACAGCGTTGTATTAAAAAAAGCGAGAAGGAATTTTTATTCTTATTCAAATTGTTATGTTCTTTTGACGTAACGTTGAAAGAAATGGAAACATAAAGAGAGAGAAAAAACACATCATAGAAAATTAATACCTACTCATCTTCGCATCAAAGCTAATAAAATCAAGAATCTATTCACAAAAACCGTACTATATGACCATATGTCAAATATTTTTTTCAAGTTAAGGTAAAATTTAATTTAAGATATATATGAAAGTATCCGTATCAAGGAACATTTTCAAGACTTAAGTTAAACAAGTTAATTTTTGTAGAATAGTTGCCATTTTGAATTCTCTCTGTGGGCGGGTAAATTTTCAAAAAAGAGTAGAGCAAAAAATGTAAGGTATCTATAAAAATTCATATTCATAGTAAAATTAATGTACTGGATTTTTTTTTATTTCTGACATTCATTTTTCTCAATTCTCAAATGACCAATTTTTTCAACGGTATGAATCACAACTCGAAGTCAAATTATAAATTTACTTTGTTATTCATTAATTTCTTGACTCTTTTTTTCTTTTAAATCGCTATTTTTTTTATTAATATCTATGAACTATTTGAAGTTTAAATCGAGCGAGTCTACAACAGTATTAATATTTTTTTATAATGTACTAGTTTTGAATGATTTTATTTGTAGTATACAGATAGAATACTAGCAATAATATGTAAATCGATATGATAAATAAAAAAAATATTATTGTTGTATTACAAGTGTAATTGATGCTGTTCATTAAAAATATGAAACGAAAATACTAATGCCTACAGCTACGTTTATAATTTATAATATACACTGAACAATCATACTTTATTATCCTCAAACTCTTCGGTAGCTGTACAGGAGTTGGTTCAATATTTTTTAACATAGCTCTCAGCTAAATATATCTTCTCAGTCGCTGGGATTACGCTGTCTTCTTTTTTATTATTATTACTTTTATAGTTAATAAGATTTATGTGAATTAAACTGATGAAACCGAAACTCAAGTGTAAATAAACTGTTAATTACAAGTTCATTAACCATCTAATCAAATTATGCACGTATTTTAATTGATACAGTAAATTAAATAGTAGGCGTATGTAATCACAAGCAAACCAGGCGTTAAAATTTAATCATTTTTACTAATGTGGATTTTAATACTGATTCTTCATAATCGTTGCTGTAATACTATAACTTGTAGGTATTTAATTTTCTTGGACACTATAAATCTATTTTATTCATAAACATAATACCAGCAGTTTAATCAATCATATAAAATATAAATACAAGTTAATTATTTCCAAGAAAAAAATAATATCGGTGTTATTTGGATAGGATTCATTAGTTAGTTCATAATTTCATGGACATAAGTTTTCTCATACAAGTTAAAAATCACTTGATGTCATTGACTTACCAGACAAGTATTTATCAAATTGTAAATGTTATAAAAAAAACGCATAACTTAGTCCATATTTTTTATTAAATATGTCAATCGTGAATTTATTTTTGAAAACAGGTATTGAATCCAATTCAACCATATTAAATTGATAAAATAAACAATAACTGTAATTTTTTAATTTTTATCAATTCATTTTGTGAAAGAATTTGCACCTTCATGTTTTCGTGCGTCTACTTGAGCAGACTTTAATTTAAGTAAAATAAAGCGAAATAAACAATAATGTTAATCTCGTTTGAAGAATTTATACGGTTGTTATTATCCCGTGTATTTATTTTGATGTGGTTATTACTGATGCGGGTAACATGTGTATATTAATAATTTTTAAATGTTCTGTTCAAATTTGTGTAGAAATGGCAAGTAAAAAATATTCAAATTAAATTTTATTGCGGTCTGTCGAAGAATTGGTATCTGTATTATTATCATATATAATATTCATTGTATAGTTTTCAACCTATAATTTTACACACTGGTGGTATTCTCTGAATCAAAGCGAATACCGACCGTGATATACTTCTTAATAAATAATTACACATGCCCATAGTTGTAATTATATTTCCAGAAAGTAAATACATAAATTATGCATATGATATACATATATTTCTCTTTTATTAGGAAAATAAATAATGTATAGGTAAAGAACTTTTAACTTATGTCACGTTATTTATTTTTGCAGACTGCCTGAAAGCATTTTAAAAAAAATTATTTTTAGCACATATGACGTACAATTAAATCGGACACAGAGTGTTAAGTTTCAAGTCGCATGAAAAATGTTATCGCCCATTTATTTAGACTTTGGTTTTCTTTTCCTTATTAAATGGCAATTAGATGATTTTTAAATTTTGTAATACATAAAAAATGTTATTTTCGATGACACGTTTACCACATTGGCATTGAGTTCAATGATAAGATACAACAGTTAAAAAATTGTCTTCGTGTATACTTAGAATTTAATAGTAACGTATTGTAAGGAAATCTTATTAAAGTTATTTCCTATTGTTATATTTTCTATATCCTTTTAATTCGTTACATTTATACACTAATTTGTGTACACTGTGAAACTTGTCAAATACCAACTTGTCATACTGAGTTTATATACACAATTGTTTATAGTTTAATTTAATTGTATTATTATGGAATAAAAAACTTATACCCAACTTCCACCCTGGAGTATCAATGGTTAAGAAAAACTTCCCTTTAGGAAACTCGACCTTAATGGAACTAAAAAGCATAAAAAACTTTTAATTGTATAAATTGAATATTTTATTTACTTTGTACAAGTTTACTTATAAAAAGACGAATAAAGTTTTGCGAATAAAGTCGCTGTTAAACTAATTATTTGAATTCTACTTTATTAGATATTTTAATTGTTCACCGAATAAATTTACATTTGCACAAAATTGGAAAATACATAATGTAATGAATGAGTTGTTAAATACTTCCCATAATCGAGCACCATACAAAAGTAGATTTCAAGTGTCTAATCTAATTTATAAACTGGGGCGATGTGTTATTCAATTTCATTCAATCGTGTTGCCACATATTTTGTATATATTTCAACCAAAATTAATTTACAATATAATTTGTTTGCGTACGAGAATCGCATACGTTGTGGAGTTTTTCACGACACGTCGCCATTTGACGGTAAACATAAACAATAATTGAGGGTACATGACGTTTATTACCTGCGTGACCTCAATAAATAATTAATATTCCTGTCGGTGTTCAGCAAAATCGTTACGTTTCAACGGCAGCTCGAATATGTTATTATTTAATGTCGCGCATTAAAAATGGCATTAGAAAATTGTCAATACTTTTTCATGGACGTTATTAGCGCAATGATATTAGAATACATTTTTTATCGCTGATAAAATTCAATTTTGCACGTGTCGGTAAAGTATACTGAGCATTGTAAAGACTAGTAGTCTCAGAAATCGTCGTGCCGGTTATAAAACGCATCAATTCTTTGAACAGAGAAAAAATAACGAGTTCATCACTTTGATGTTTATTTCGTGGAATAATTAGGTCATTGGATTTTTTTCATCCGGTCTGGAAAAAAAATAAATTACTATAGGAAATGGCGATTTTAATTTGAGCGCAATTTATCATTTGAGTACTGGTAATATCGTTTAGAAAAGGACAATTAAATTTAAAAAAACTGTTTTCACTAGTCAATTATATTCTACGCAGTACTTGTGTTTGAATCAACTCATAGTAGTGCCACTGTGTTTGGCCATCGGTCGTCAAGGTTTTTTGGGAACCCAACGGCCACGAAAAGGCAATAAAATAAATGTACCCGGCCAGGACCACAATGTAATACAACGTCGACGAAATGAAAATAAAAAACTTGTAAGAGAAAAAAATTATAACTAAATTTTTAATTATCATCAATATATTCATCTATATGTATTCATAGACAATAAAATATACAGCGCTTAATATTAGAAACGTCGTCTCTACTATTTACACGGTAATTAACTGTTTTTTAACATGGCATTAATATTATGAATTACATATCGTACAATAAATTACATTTCATATTTACAACAATAATGATTCATAACTATAATATATNTTACATTTCATATTTACAACAATAATGATCCATAACTATAATATATTTGTAATGTTTGTTATTACAGTATTGTAAATGAAAGAACTAAAAATATTAAATAAACTCGAACAATTCAAGCGGCATTAACGGACGCGAACTGTCAATGAATAATTTTTTTTCTAATTTTTAGCACAACACTGTTCAAGATTAACATACTTATAAATAACGATATAATTTAAAAATAATTTACAAGCTATTGAAACACAGTTCTTCCCAATTGTCCAACCGAAATTTCGTTCGAAAATTCGGTGTAATTATTTTTTACTACAGACTAGAAAACTGAGTGCGGCGGCTGCATCAGCATCATGTTGTTGCTGTGATAGTACGAGACGGCCGCCTGCGACGGTGATAGTCATTCTAGTTTCTCCTGGTACATCTTCGGATCTTTGTTCCAACAAAAGTTTTTCTGGTCCTTTTGGTGCTGTTGTTGTTGTTGTTGTTGTTGGACAGGCATGAACGATGACGGAGGGGGAACATGCGAAGACGGCGGTGAAAGGGGCATCACCGAACCGACAGAACTGACAACGGGACTCCAACGGACCAGACCGGCGCCCGATCCGGGCATACCGGCGGGTGGTTTAACGTCGACCATGTCGGCCATGTTGTGTAAAGCCGGTGGCGGCGGCACACCGTGTTGTTGTTGTTGGTGGTGCTGTCCGTGTTGCTGTTGTTGCTGCTGTTGATGTTGGTGATGCGGTGAAGATCCATCAGCCGCACTTTGGCTATTTTCCGAATCCGAACATGACTCACTACTTCCCTTTTTACTTCCGTTGTTACCATTGTGTGTCTTAACGTGCTTGGCCAAATGGTCAGACCGCATGAAGCGCTTGTTGCATACTGGGCACGCAAAACGTTTTTCTCCAGTGTGGGTACGCAAGTGTCGCTGTAGCTCATCCGACCGAGTGAATCGCTTACCGCAGAACAACCAGTTACATACGAACGGCCGTTCACCCGTATGCCAGCGTAAGTGGGCCTTCAAGTGAGACGTCTTTCCATAGACTTTGCCACATCCTGGTATGTGACAACTGTGTACGTTTTTCTTCAAGTGCCCGCCGGCCGGACCGAGTCGTTCGGCTTCTTGGCAATTAGGACAATCACAGGTAGCACGGCCGGTATACCGACGCTGAGTACGCGGTGAAGGCGTTTGTGCTGTTGAGTTGTAAGCTGCCGATACGGCTGCTACGGCAGCTGAGCCGGGCGATGTACCAGATGCTGAAGAAGTGACCGCCGAAGGATGGTGATGATGGCCGAGACCGAAAGATGCTTGAGCACCGGGTAGTATAGACTTGTAAGTGTCTTGTAAAAAGTGTTGGTTGGCCGAGAACAAGTGATGAGCTGTATTGGATGCAGCTAATGAATGGCTTAGCGTAGAGTAGTCCGATTGAGCGGCATAATTAGCCATTTGAGCGTGCATACCTAAATGAACAAAAAAACAAAAATTTTTATTAAAAACTAATGCGCATTACATTATTATTATCTCGATTATTTCGAAATTATTGAATCGTTTATTTTTTAGAATTTTAATTGTGAAAGGAAAAAACCAGTATATTACATATTTGTTACGAAACACCGTGTATTTACGATAATTTCGGCCTTATTTAACCGTTAAAAGTCATTATAAATGTATGGATTATTAATTATAAAAATTTTAAACGGTGTATTAGATAACAGAAATTTATTGTATAATATTTACTCAATCATAATTGGTATAAAAAAAAAACTTTCAAAGAACTATCATAAGTTATTCAAAAGATATTCACCTCCACTCATATCAAGCCATCCGCTTCCGTGTACATCCCACCAAGCAGGATTTACCGATTCGGTCTTGATGGCCGGCGCGTGGTGTCCGGCGGTACTCATGGAGTTGAATGGCCATTCGTATGGATGACGTCCGTACAAAGCACTGTGATTATCGACTTTGCCGAGCAATGGATTCTGATGGTGATGGTGACCGTTGTTATCGGTTAGCGTCTGATGTCCACCTCCAAAGTAGATGTTGCTATGGTGAGTCGGTGGCGGCGGGTATCCCGCGCTAGTCGGTATCGGCGTTGACGGAGCCGACGACGTAGACGTGACTACAGGACGTGGTGATTCGGCTGCACTGGACGCGGGGATTCTTTGCTGGCACTGTTGTTGATGTTGTTGCTGCAGCGGCGAACCAGACATGTCATTGGTCTGTTGCTGTGGACTTTTCTTCCAAGGATAGAATCCTTTGCCGACCGCGGCATCCGCTAGAGGTGGTGGAGATTTGCTTTGCAGTTTGTTGCATTGGGCGGCCAACATGGCCAATGGCGTGTTCCTCAGACCTGGATGTTCCTGAAAAAATGATATTAAGTTGAAAATATTTTACTTTTATAAAACAAACTATACTAAATAATATCAAGTGTTATTGATATGGTGTTAAACTGATATTGGATTAACATAAACCTTTTGTATTCTGCTATTTAATGACTACAATCGCATTGATTGGCTGTAGTAATTCAATTACTAGGACGCGCTTAGATAACAATGATTTGTATTGACAATTATACGTTTTATGTAATTCGACGTGAATATATTATTCGGTGCCTATTACTGATAAACGAGTTATTGTGCGACTTCAATTGACGGCAAATAAATCATACAGCTGAAAACGTTCATTCTAAATACTATCTGTTCATAAAGCAGAAGAATTTACAATCAGAACTGTAAAATGATTACTAAGTTTGAATACATACATGTGATAATTCAACTATAAAATTAATAGTCAAAATGAAATTCGGTGGGAAGCGCTACAAAAACAATCACAAATGTACTGAGCACATGATTCTAACCAATTTTAAAACCGCAAATTTATTGAAATTGCGAGCTGCTGTGCTATTCGACCAGCTGTTACCGCTGTCGGCTATTGGTGTTGACCGGACGCGGTAAAAATGTATAATTCCGGTAAGTTCTATTATTTTAAATTATAACGTAGTGGACATCATGCAACACTGGGCTAGGCTAATTGAAGTTTCCCAGCTGTTTGTCCGCACCAGTGTAACTCAGTGTACGGTAGTACTTGCTAAATAGAACAATTTCCCAAAAACCAATACTTTATTAACTGTTAGAAAGAGTTGAGTGTTCGTGTGGATTATATGGACTTGAATGTAATGCCACGGAGAGCGGTCGAGACGCCCGTCGGCCTTTTTATATTACAACGCGTCGACTACTATTATTATTTTTGGGTACTGTTTTTATGTATAAATTATACTTTTAAATTATCAAAAAAAAAAAACCAACAGCATCCAAATCCGATCTAAATGTTCGATAGCCAATGGCTACAAACCTACTCGACAAACGTACATAATTCGACACGAACACCGACGGGTATTATATTGATACAGTATTTTTAAGTCAAATTGTTATTTTATAATATATTATAACAATAAAGAAGCTCTAGGGAAATTGACTGGAAGATTTTTATCCGACCTACTTAAAAATAGGTACTACCGACATTCGGAGAGCAATCATTAGATTCAATAGTGATTCTCGAAGAACAATAATGTCGATGATTATGTTTAATCTTATGTTAGGTAACCCATTTTAATGGTAAATATTTTAACTAAAACGAGGAACACGAAAAAAATTGATACATCAGGCAAAAAATATATACATAACGGTATGTCATGAATATGAATAAATCCAGTTACACACATCTTAATTACAGAGAACTTCATTGAAATAACATCAAATGAAAAAATTATGTCGAATAAATAAAAAAAAACGGTTTGTAAAAGAGTGTTGTTGTCACCCAGGACTATGGCACAGATGAAAAACATTGTACGCGTGGAAATCTTAATTAAGATTGAGTAGCAGACAGTTTTGTAGTGTTTTCACGGTCGTTAATTTGATTTATTTGACACAACAATTTTGTAGTGATTTTTAATCTTGATGGAACGAGCAAAAAATACAACGCAATAGTGTTTTATTAAAACTTATAAACACGAAGTAAGATGTTATTTCGTAAGAACAAAAAAAAAATCGTAATTTTTAAAATAATCTTGTCGTCGATTTCTATTAAAGTAATAAATAGCGAATAACGGTTGACGTGTTTTTTCAGATTGCCTTTTCGGACTTTTATTTGTTCAAAGCACATGATATTGTAATCATTTGCCACAAAATTATCCACTCGAATAAAGAACGACGGCCATGTTCGTACCCCTTTGGTTGTTTACGGGGCATTACCGTAGTAAGGTCACGCTAACGGCCGGCCACCAAATATTAATAAACATTGTAATATTAAAATTAATACAGTATTTTCTTTTTTAACGATTTCCTAAGATAGAATAATAACAATTTCTCGCGTAGACCTGCACGCTCTTGTGTTGTAAGCCATTGCACACAACTACAGTCGGAATTCTTAACTACTACCTACGTAAAAAAACACATAGCGACTATCCGAAAAAATCAACCGTTATGTACAAGTTCCTAGAACCAATTACATAACGTATAAAGTTGTTGTTGTTTCTACGGGAAGTTTCGAACGCGAACGATCCAACGATAACTCAAAAAAATGGTCTGTGACGATTCAATATCAATCTTATATCATTATGTGTCGGACAAATTGACAACTACTCTGTCAAATCAGATAATCAGAGTACCCGATGTGGTTCAATGGGGTTGGGCACCGTCTCCGTAACCCGAGAACGGACCGGATGTGCGGATGCTGAAAAATAAGTTGTTATAAACGATTATTATTGACAACGGTGGCGGCGGTGCGGAAACGTAAACATTTCAGAAAGAACCACACACCCAACGTATATATTATAATATGTCGCGCATTGTGTCTAAACCGCTCGGCAGCAAAATCCGAGCACAATAGGCCTCTGCAGGGACGACAGCTCCGGTACCGTACGCACTTTATCCGCAGCCCACGTACGCCATTGTGGTTCACCTGTCTGCGAAATGCGTTCCCCGAAACGACAGTGTCCGAAAAGTGCCATTTAATGATAAATAATGTCTCATTGAAAACATACCGTTGTGCCATTAGTCTACACGAAAACGCTTAGATTTAATGGACAGTCACTTGCGCACCTCGCAATATCGTGTGGATTCGACTGCGGAGACCATTGGCGCGGTAACGAATTTTCACTGTAACGATCCATTCACAAGAGTTTTGTATCGGTGTAATTAATTGTTGTGTTTGGAAACGCGAAAACGAGTTATCGTGCATACCAATCCGATTATTTACATACCAAGTTTTTGTAATAGCGACCGCACTGACGACAATTATAACGAACCGCCCGGTACAGGAGAATACATACAACGCCCACGACTCGCACGCCATGTCGGCCGGGTGTTATGGTGATTGTAAACGCCATGGTCGGACGTGTGTCCGTTATCGTCTTGCGCCCGGCGCAAAACACGAAAACTTCTTCGTTACACGATTAATAGTAACACACTTTAAAACGGCGAGTAGGCGATGGAGTTGTTTACATTATTTTAACCAATAAAGAGATCAATGGGATAAGCTGCTGGCCATTGTAGTCGAAACCGTTTCATCGTAACTGACGACGTCATAAAATTAATTATACACACTAGTTTTTTATTTCTATTATATTTTCGTCCGTTCGCATTACGTGTGCGCCCGTTTTAATGACGATGAGTGTGCTGTTTGGACTTGATGTGTAAGGCGACCGTACAACGACGGCAAAAACGTGGCGCGCGGACAGAGCCGAGGAAAAAGTTTCATTGTAGTCAACAAGACGATTTTTTTACCCGGCCTATTGTGAGCACAATAACAAACGAACGATACCGACCGATAAGTAAACGTCGAGCGGGCCGTTATTAATGAAAAAACGTCAAGTTAATGTAACTGTTAACGCGTTTTTCCACACGACTATTGTAATAATGTAATTATTATTGTAATGCCGTTGGCAAATTAATGTGGACGTGACCTAAAAATAATTTTCTCCATTGGAAATTAATTCACCGGCCATGGCGTGCACTTTTTTACCCGGGGTCGCATAATGGAACGGGAAAAATCATATACAAACAGTAAAAAATACATAATAAATGTCGGAAAGGTCGAATAGTACTCGTACACGTTTTTCGGTACACGTGTACTGTTTACACATTATATAATATTATCGCGTGTAATTTCGATTAGTTCGGTAGTTTTATTATTAAATATTAACAGACGACTATTTCATAGACCAAAGACGACTAGGCGTCGTCATGTGTACGAGTCAATGCGACCGCCGAACCAACCGCACGGGGAAATTATTTATACAAAGAGATTTTTTTTTACCGTCAAAACTTTCCACAAGTTTGAGATGCCCATAAAACACTGCGATATCACGGCTCGATGAATATCAGTGTGTTTACGCGATAATTAGTTACTGAGGATAACGTGTGCCCCCTCAGCTAACGCCCAATTCCGCCTCCCGATGCTGAGCCGGCCGACACAGTACCGTACTATTTTTCCTCGATGGGTCTAATTGAAATAGAAGAGACTTTGGGTGTACACGATGATTTTTCAACGTGCTCGCGGACAAATAGATTATTCTTCCATGTAAAATTACGGGCCCGCACTAATACGAGGAGATCCAACGTCCGTTCACGATTCCGTTGATCCTCGTAGGAGTTATTATTATTGTATTTACTCCGAACGGCCTCTTCTTGTTCCATTACGTTGCAGCTCATTCGGTCTATATACACGTCGTATCTGTAATAACCTCGAGGACGGCAGATTAGGTGGCGCCACATGTCAAGTTCAAAAAGATTCGACACTGCCGCCGTCGCCGACGTGATGAAGCAGTTTTTATAATTTTCTACTTTTTTTTTTTTTGTTACCCTCGCCATATATGTATCGGGAGCGCCGCCCGTACTGTCTGTAATACGCGTGTAATGTGCGCAGAGTGTTTTTACTACTCTCATTATACCGGCCCGAGGCGCATCTGTGTGTGATGAGTATACGCGTTTAAAATCCATTTTCTACCGGCAGCCTAATCGAAAAAAACGGCGGCTAAATTAAAAAAAGGAAATACTCACCATTATTTCTTGTTCGGTAGGCCATCCTTCGTTGCATGATTTGCCGGTCAGGGCACTTTGGAAATCCGGGACCTGCGAACACACACAACACGTGCGTTAGTGTACGGTGATAATTATTGTTATTATTTTGAAAAAAATATATGCGCTACACAATGTCGGGGAGGACGTTCCGTCAATGGACTGCGGACGTGCTTTATTATCTGTTCGCTGGCAATTCGCGCGCACTCTCTCATCGTCTCGGCGGAAGGTGATGAATAGGACGACTGTTATCCGTACGCGATTTGTACTCTCCAAGGTCGGCAACGAAATAATCAGTAGAGAAGAAAATATCGAGTTCATTAATATGTCCCCGGGCTTCAATATACATATTTTACACGTGAGTAATTTGACGGCACATCGTCAAAGCTACGGAACGGTGCAGGATACACATACGGCGTCGTAATGGGAGTCGGGCTCGGGCACCGCCTTTAGCTAAAAAACATGTGTGTTTCGGACACAAAACGCATTTACGCATGTCATAAATCCTTTCGTTTGCCATTGCTCTTCGGGCCTCGTGATAAACGAGCTAAGAAAAATAATTATCCGATCACATTGGTCGGCCGCAACACATAAACCCCGACGCGTTTCCGTGTAAGTTTTATTCCGTCACGGTCCGGCAGCCGCCACAGTTACGCCGGTCCTCCAATTTGATCGACACCAACAAAGTTCATCGGCCAAATCGAATAAAACGTTTTTGTTTGTGTGTTTTACTGCCGCCGCGGTTCGTGGAAATAATTCGTTTACGCCGTCGCACCTCCTCCACCAAAATAATTCAATACAAATCGCGGTCTTTGTGCAATTATCGTTACGCGGCACGTCGCCGCCGCCGCCGCTATTCAATCCGCTTTTGCCAATAAATGTCAGAATCGCTCAAAAAAATGCACGTCTGACGTGAGTATTGAACCGAAACGTCCACTTGCAGTGATCCGGGTCGTCTTGGCCGGCATTTGTTATTACGGTCGATCTCAAAAACGTCAGAAATGTCCTACAATTATTTTTTTATATTGTACAACACCATGACGTCTAATGAAATACTGCCGACACCGCAGCAATTATTGCAATCGATCGCGATTGGCGGCGGCAAGCCAAAAGTGCGGACACAAAAAACCAACCCAAACCCGGTCGTTGTATGAATTATTTATTTATGGAAAAAATTATACAAAGGAATTAATACAATAACACTATGTTACGGGCGGTTGGCGGTGGTGGCTGCAATGCCTTCGTGAGAAAAGGTTTTTTATTTTATAATTAGTTCTTCAACGTTTTCAGAGGAGTATACGTAACAACGGATGCCGCTTTAGGACGCGGCTTGCCCAGGTACATATATAGTGAAAAACAATATTACAGTAGCAGCGCGTTAAGTTTTTTTTTAATGGGATGTAACAAGTGCAAATATTCATATATGACGCGGCATTAATATTTATCATTCTCACACGATTGTTGCCCGGAGCCACTTTCTGGAGAGTATTTTATTTTTTCTAATTATTTTTTCACTTATTAAAATATTGGTTTCGATTCCACGGCGGCATTCGGTGTATGACCGGCAGCATTAACCGTATCAATGCATTTTGTCCAAACAGAAAAGTACATTTAAATAAACCGAAAAGGAAAAAAAAACAGAAGCGACTGACGAAAACGTCGGTACGACGGGCGGAACACTCGTTGTAATAAATTGGGTTTGAAATTCAAAGTATTGAGTCTTAATACATTTACTATCGTACCCACTGCGGTTAATTATGTCCCGGGGCCCGATACTTAGACGCGTTATTTAAATATACATTACGATTTTCATGTTTAACATTTTATTATTATCAATGAACTCCTACCGCACATACGCACATCCCGGCGATTATATTCTCCAATCTGTTTATTAAAAACAATTATAATATTCGGGCCTTGGGTATTTTCCCACGGAATGCCCACTAAAACGAGACGTCTCACTGTGGGCAAGGGCACAAATATTAATCCGACTTTTCCAAAACCAACAACGCGTTCATAATTACCGCAGTGAATTCATGACAAACGCCTATTTTCAGTGGTTTTCGATTTTTGCACTTCACCGATCGTCTGCAAATCGGTCGTATAATTGAATTCGACCTAGTTTCCATCTTTTGCGGTTATTGTCATCCGGACGGTTATCATTTGTCCAAAAGACATCACGAACGCACCGGACCGACCGCAATCAAGTGTCAAATGGACGTTTGACGGGTAAAACGTCAACAGAGAATGAAAAGGGGCACATTTCTTCCATCACGAGGAGAATCAAAATCGCGTGCAGCTCCTTCGTGTGTACGCCGTTCCAGTCTTTTATTGACCGCAATTTATTTTGATAGCAGTTGTTCCCAATGTATAAGGCGCACGTTCCATCAACAACAATACCATTTTATATATATTATTATAAGATAATCCGAATATTGTCGGATTCCTAACAAAAATCAAAAGCCTCCGAACAATATATTCCGAGTACTCTGAAATTAGCTGCCCCTTCAAGCACTGAAATCGTGTCGGTAATCAAAGACGTATGAATTAGTTTTAGAGTTGGCTCACCGACATTTGTAAAGTTAGTTAAAAAATATTCGGAAATCATTTTACTTCAATTTAATTCTCGTTTATTATCGACTGAAATTGAAGTATATTATAATAAAAAGGACAATGTCCACTGTTTTTGTAAATCACTATAAATTTGTGTTCGCGACATACGAATCTGCTGGTATAACGTAGTGAATGAGAAGTTCTAATATCATTACAAATACTGCCATACAATTGAGTAATTATTGCAATAATAATTTAAAAAACGACATTTAGTAAATTCGAGACAATCACAGACGTAAATAATCTTTTCCCCGGGCAGTTATTTAAAATAATACTTGTTTCTCGAGACGCGTTATGTTTTCTGGGAACTTAAAGAAGTTAACAGATCCAATTCAATGACGTTTACACGTTACGCGAAGAATACCGGCCGTTATAAAAGAGGTATATATCATTTTGTTTACACCTTTTTCTGCTCTAGACTATATTATGCACAATCGGTTCACAGGACGTTACGATGACGTTATTTGGACCTACCGAGAAAATACCTAGAAACTGAGTTGTTGCGTCCCGGTCATAACGGGGTCGTTTTTGTGAGTTCCATAAAGAAAAAAGGCTATAATTCCGGTCGACGACACCCACTGCTTCCGAACGGGAACCCGTTACCTTTGTATTCGTAGTGTCTATGCTGTTAGCACGTTAACACATAATGTTTTCAAAAGCGTTTTTTTCTCGGTCCACATATACATAAAGACGTTCACTCTAGATTTACGGTCGTTTTATAGTGCAGTAGCGTCGTCATTGGAACCCATATATTCTTTTTTTTTTTGTCCAACGGTTCTCGGACCCTTTCACACGATGACCACGACGTCCACGTTAGGTCGACTGTGCGGTGTAATCTCGAGGAGGGTTAAGACGACACCCGCCGAGGCACCGAATACGATACATCAGCAGGACGCAAATATCGTTTGTGGTATGCACTATGTATTGTTCAGATATGATACACGACTTGCACTCGCGGGTTTCGTCGGGTGTATAAAACACATCATTGATTGCGTATAAAAACCCTTTTTGCGCTTTTTTGCTATTGTAACAACAGTTTACACTAGCGTTCTGAACGAATACAACACGAGTATTTAAATCTGTCCGTAGATCCCAAGATCGGACGTAGCCACCTAAAATGTCCTTTATATTCTGCATCGGATATTCTAGTGGCGGCTATTACAATATTATTGCCATTTGGCGGAGGGATCGTCTGAGAGGTTTCAATTTACCGAGTACGAATATAAACACCCTTATCCGATGGCTTTACTGTAACGTGCAGTAGAGGGTGATCGTCTATCAATAAATAAACCGCTTTCGAACGTGTGACAAAAATCTTGCACAATCAGTGCGCTAACCAACTGCATTGGGTATAAAGACGGCGGCGTCGACTGGCCTCTTTTGCGGACAATAACAGCAATCGCAACACATCGTGTAAATGCCGCGATTATAATTTTTTTTTTTTTCAGAAAAATACAATAACAATTTCTCCAGTCTCGTTTTACGATTCGCACCCCCGCCGGGCTGCCTTTGAACCCGCACCGACCCGGAATACATTAAACGCGTACTCTCGTCTAACGCGTACAGTATCTATACGAAACGCATTACAAGTACGTCATGTCTCCTGACACATATATCATCGACGGACCTATTGTTTTTCCCAGTGATATAATGCGGCACCCGACAGACTCGAGTACCCGACTGGATATAATAACACACACAAAATATGAGTATCGGCTTGTCAATAGCGGTTACTTTTTATTATTTTACAAACAAATCTCAAGTCAAAGTACAATACTAATATTATAAATTATATTTGACATTATATTAATAATATAATTATATGTTTAGAGTACCCGTAAATTTTTCTAAAAATTACACGTGATTCATAAAAATTTGCCACAATAAAAAACGTATTTTACTCGATTGATCCAATGACCAATTACTGTTTCGAACTTCTTTCAAATATGCCCTCAAACCATTCAAGTATTAAACTATATACCTGTTTTTCCAATAGAATTTAATTAACTCTTAGAAATTATTTAAAAAACTTACTACTGAAGTGTTGTACAATGGTCCTCCGGCAACCCGAGAAATTGGATAATCGGCCAACATGTTGTCAGCTTACAAGTGTTGTTCTTTCGGAATAACTTGAATAAACTCAATTTGTTCTTATCAACAGATGCACTGATGTCCAACAATTAACGCAAACGACAATTCGGCGTTGAAAAGATAACTGAATAAATTATAGACGGTAGAGACCATAATAGTGTTCGAATAACTCGGAAGGTGTTTTTTATTAGAAAATATTTTCTAACGAGTACAATAGAAAACGCGTCGGAACGAATTACTGAACACTCTAATGTGATTTTTTCCGAAGTATGGACCGAAGTAGAGCGGGACTGTAGCGACGGTAATGCCAAACCGGGTAATGTGTGTAGACTGGCACCGCGAGAGGAGCACGGGTGGCAGCCTGACCGACGTGCGGGCTACAAGTGGGCGGACTTTGCCGGGGTCCGGACGTCCAATGGACGGACACGCCCATGTTTTGTTGTGTTTGCTCCCCGCCGCCCCAAAAAACCGCAATTAAATAGGGGCGCCCGACCACGCCCGTCACCGTGTCCCCTCTCCAGTTCGAACCGTCTCCTACGGATTGTCGTCGTCACGACCACGAGCGTATCCGACAACGCTGCGGCAAGCGATGGCTCAAAAGTGGCGCCGGTGTCGCCGTAGCCAACAACGACCATCACTACAGCCCAGCAACGGCGATATCCGATCGATATGGCCTCACAAACTTAGCAAGTTCCTTAAAAGATTTCATAATTATTAAACTTTATGACAATGGGTAAAATGAGTTTTTAGCGTACCTACAAAACTACTCAGGTCAAACAAAAAATTAATTGGTGTAATTATTTTAAATTGTTCTTAAATATTTAATTTTAAGTATGTCTTATGAGAAAATGTATAATTCGGAATTATTAGATTTAATTACTGTAAGTTATGAGAAGATTTTTGATACTTCGATCAAATTATTTTAATGTAGTCAAGTTCATAATTATAAACGATAACAATTTCCTGTTATTATTCAACCCAGTAGTAATTACTAAATTCACTAGATTATAAATAAAAATAAAAAAACGTGCTAAAATATAATATTGAGCACATATTACGTATAGATTATATAATTTGAAATAAATCTAATAACCAATTAAAATAAAATAGATCAAGTTTGAGAATTAAATATTATACTTGGAATAAACATTCAGATACTTAAATAATACTTAAGTAAAAGAAGATTTTACTAAAGTCTTCTTTAATAAAATGTTATTTCGTCTTAAAATTTTCGAGACACACATGTGTCATACTATTGTCTAATTTTTTGTGATGACTTTGTGGGTTTAACTGCCAACTATTCAATATGCACAGTACATAATTAACACTTTAAAAGTTCATTTTGTTTATAATTAAACGTTGTGTAGTACAATTTAAGTCTTCTATTAATTCGTAACAACGAATAATTTTTACTACAATATTAATCTGGTATTTCTTCAAAATTTATGAATTTTTACTATTTATGAATTTTATCTGCAGATACATAAAAGAAACTTATGATAGACATTGAAATTACTATGATTTAATCAACTCCTACTGATATTCAGTGATATTCACTGAAGTCAAATACAAATTGTTTAAAGAATAGCTATATTTAATGTACATAATTTGTTTTATGTATAATTTAATGCCTCGGGTATGATGTTGAACACATAATATAAAACAGTTGTATTCCTACAATTGTATTCTATTTCTTAGAAAGAATGTGAATTCAAATTAATTCAAGTGAATGAAGTTTATATAATTATTGATGAAATAGATATAGAATAAAATTTCAATAACAAATGTCAGACTTAAATAGTTTGTAGAACCTACCGAGTATAATTATTGTCATTAATCTAAGGAAAATAATTATATTTTTTGATATTATCGCGTGAAAAATATCGCATTATTTTTATACATGCGGTAAGGTCGTATACTGCAATTACACGACCGCATTGAGCATGAAATATCATTATATAATCTCACTACTAATAGGTTAACGCAATTTTATAAAATACTCATATTATATCCTAAAAACATGTTAAGCTCAATTGCAATACTATTCAAATTAGTAATTTACCATAATTACAAAAAAAATAATAATAATACAATCAAATTCATTATTATCAAATAATTGACTTTACTATAAAACGCTATAGTTAGACTAAAGCAGAGTGTTGAAAAAAATCATTTCTTCTTTGCTAGAGAATTAAAATGTTGCTAATAGTATTTATGTACTAATTTTAATATTGTGAAACATGCAAAGATTATAAACTATTAAATATTAAAAATAGTAAAGTGTAATCATTTTAATACGAAAACCTTTTGGAAAATGAAAAAATTGCTCCACGTGTTATGAATGTAATTTTATGTCTTAAAAATAATTATACACCAATTCAAAACCACATGGAAATTTAATAATGTACAAAATCGTAGATTATAAATCTAAGAACAATTGAGAAGTATTAACAAAAAAAAAACATTTATATAATATTGTATAGGTAATTTTTACAGAGGACACTTCAAAATCCATTAATGATTACTTGGAATTCTTGAAAAAAAAAAACCAACGAGACAAAAATTACAATTATGATGAAGCTGGCGAACTAAAGAAAAAATAAAAACAAAACGAGAATTATTTTTTATTGTGTTATTATAACGACATCTCTCGACTTCGTGTGTGTTTATGAACGTCAAATAATTGAATTTTACAATATTATCCACTGGAGTAGCCAAGACGACCACCAACCAAATTTCTGTTGCAATTTCCGCTACCCCTATATTTAAGGCACATTAAACCGGTTGGTTCTTATTTTTAGTTAATGGGTATATCATCGCCAGGACAATGAAAGGGAATGAAAAAAAAAACTAAAACCACGGCTGCCGACAAGAATTAGAAGAAGAGGAAATCATTTGTCCTCCTTTCATACATACTCGCCTACTACAGGTCGTCTGGGACCAATTTTTCAACTCTCCGGTTAATGACGACCCAAAGGCGCCACAGCGCACACAAGCTCGTTAACCAAACATTAGGCCACTCATGATGCCTCCCCTCATGTTTCCTCCCTCATCTACCACAGAGACATTACGCGTGTAATACACACACAACACATAATACATATACTACGACGTATGGCCGGTGGTAAATACATACGAAGAGGTGTACATTACAAAATGTGCACATAGGTACACGTTGTGGTATATTTAATTTTTGTGAGTTTTTTAATAATGTCGGAGAGCCTCGAGTAAATTAATTTCGTGTAATCAATTTTGTACCTCGGCGGCATATACACAAAACGTGTGTACTTTGTTGGCAATCTAAAAAAAACCAGACCACTAAACGGTGTAATTTTCGGCTTGGTCGTATACGTCCGAGCAGGCGACGCGCCAAAAACGAGACATAGAAAAATTGACCGTCGTTAAAAAACAAAACTAATAGTATATTTACAACAACGTGTAATATATGGACATTGCGTTACAGACAGTCGTTTGGTTTACATAATTAAACACGACGAGATCATATCGTTGAATAGGTCGTGCGACTTTTGACCCTCGAAATGCTTTTTGTTTTCAGAATTACAATGAAAAACGTAAAAATAAAAAAACCTTGTTCGGGTTTTATTGTGAAAATGCTCTGCTAAAAATGTAATAATTTATTGTAGAAAACGCTAGGAATAAAAATACAGGTAAAGTTGTGTGAAAAGAATGTGGCATACCGACTGTTTTTATAAACCTGACTTGTGTGTTAGAGGCTTACGAAATACACTTTACGACGAGTTATTTTTTAATTTTAATTAAAACCTTCGAATAACATGCGAAGATGCTTTAGTTGAACGCTCTGTCAAATTAAATTTTACTATTAAATAAATTAGTGTATAAAATATGTTGGTGCGCCTTGAAATACTTTTTCATAATTAAATCACGATTTTTTGTGGTTTCATGGCGAACCCGAAGAAAAATAATTACTTTATGCGGCTAATAGATGTAAATAACTGTAACACCTTTCGATCGTCGAAATACTCGGCCTATGATGTTCAGTGAAGTTGAAACGCATACAAGTCGAATTTAGTGCGTCATTACATGTTATTTTAGCTCATTGACAACAAAGACTTTTATAAATATTAAAAAATAATAATAATTTCGATTATCATAGGAAATCGCGTGTAATTGTAGCTTTAGGTTAATGCAGTTATATGATACATCTATATTTTTATTTATGTCTGGACATGAGCTCTATACTTAAACAGGTGTTGGCCACTATAGTGAAAGGAAACGGTACTTCCGCGTAATTCGGCTAAAAATTGGCGATAAACATGATAACCACTGGTCGATGGCAGATGATGTTGATGAATGTGTTATTAGCGGTCATGTAAAAAAACAACACGGTACATATGCAATACCGCTGTGGCCAGGGCGGGGTTATATTTAGGTTCTCGTTGACCAGCAGCGTATATTTAAATGGGTGTGGGCTAGCGCTGTTTAGACACATGTAATGATATAGTGTGTATGTGATCAAAAGTGTAATAATAGCAATATTGTTATTATAATACAACATATTAACAAAAATAAGAACGTGCCGCACATGCTCGCCGTGTCGGACTTATAGGCAAATAACAAATTTTATCAGCCACTGTGTTTATTGACTAATTGAAAGAAGGTGTGTAGTATTTTCAAGAGGACACGCGCGTGCCGCCCACGCCGACCGCACTGTGCACGAGGTATCGCCGTACCTCCCTAATATTATGTTAAGAACGCCAACCTTTCGGGTGTGAATCTTGTAACGCGAATGTTAAAAATATAAATAGCTAACACATAATTATATCCGATGTAATTTTGGTCGCTTATGAACTCGACAGTAACGTTGTTTACATTAAATTGTAATAAAACGGTAGAATACGATGCGCTTCGCATGAAACTTTTTGTTCGGATAAAAATCATACCGAATGAAAACGAGCGTTTGGTATCGTTCGATGGTAAAAAATAACAGCACATTACTACTAAGTACACTCTGTTTGGGCGTCCCGCGGCGAAAAAATCATAAACGCCTTTAATTTACAAGTTCGCGTCTTCCAGTACAAAGTATTCACCGTGACATTTAACCGAGTGGTTTTTTTTTTTAGTACGCTGAGTTGATGTTATAAAAAAACGTTATTTGGTGCGCGCGTAATTGAAATGTTTTTTCATAGGATACGTCATAACATTGTACGGAATTATCAAACGGAAACGGATAGTGTAATATTATACACATAATGACTTTACCGTGTAAACTTTGAATAGTCATTGGCGTACGAGTGTTTAAGCATTAAAGACTTTAGAGGCCCGCTGGTTATATATAATTATTTCTATAATGTGGTGTCAAAATATCACTTATTCGTTTTTACATTGTAGTCTAAACAGCCC